TGAATCAACACAGACTCACTGGTGGGAAGTAAACAACAGCCGAGCTCTGAATCGTTCTTACCCTGCTGGTGATGATGAGGAAGAGGATCATGGGGGTACAGCAGCAGCAGTGACTCACTAACGAAGAGGCTGCGAACGTGACGCTCCAGATTTGTGTGTGTATGTGTGTGTCAAGAAAAATGAATTAGTCGCTAACATTTGGAAATCGTATTTCATGTAAATATCTGTATTTTCAGTTTCTCTAGAAAGATCACGTTTAGCAACCCTGGCCGTGCATTCATTTCCATATGGCCACAGTGAGCCGGAGCTGAGCAGCTGTTGCCCACTTTTTGCAGTGGAGCATGGGCTTTGCAGATGGCCACTGCCGCGAGTAATCCCTACTCCTACACACCTGGCCTGCTCGCTATCCACCGAACCTACCTGGCTGTACACGGAGTACACCGAGTTTGCAATCCCTGCTCTAAGGTGGTAACACCAATAAGAAAGTTTGCTAGGAACTGCAAATAACCTCTAGTCTCAGCCTTCCACACTTTGATGTCATGCACCCGAGCGTAATAGAACAGGGGTAAGGTTATAATAGCAACCATCTGACTCTGGTCTAATTTATTAAAAAAATAAATCATTTGCAAACTTTGGTACTAGTATTAGAACAAACTGGACCATATCTTACATTGGACCACAACATACCATAGTTGAAACCTCTGAATACAGAAATTTGCTTTTGTGCTTCCCAGCAGAAATTCTGACTTTTGAGTATGTCCAACAAATGATGAAACCATTGATAATTTCAGAATCAAATTTTAGGGGGCAAGGGGAATAAGGAGTAAAAAATTAGAATCAAGCACTTCTAGTTTATGTAATTATAGATATATAAAAATGTTGCTTGTAAGTATTAACTGTCAATCATAGAAATGTGCAAGTTTGACATTTGTGTTATCATGTAAAATTATTTGGGAAAAAATGTAGAATTCGGTTACTTTGCAAAACTGGACAGAAACATTTCTGAGACAGGCACTGCATCGAAACAAAAATCTATGTGGAAAGGGGCCACTTTAATAGAGTAACAACTCTCTACTTTCAAATTACCCCAAATATCCTTGCCTCAGTAGACTAAAGAAAAATACATGTGCGTGCTGAGGACAGGTAGAGAGTGGAACAATCTAGAAATATCTTGGGGGGACTGAAGGGATAGGTTAAATGGGCCCTCCAAAACTGAGAGCAAGTGGAGACTAGGAAGGTGTTTGGCCTGCAGAGAAATCTTTTTCCAAATGTGTATGATTAATGTCCCAGACCACTATGTAAAGATCACATCTCATAATCTAGAATAATACAATTGCCTAGTCCACTCCCCACCCCCCAACACACAGACACACACACACACCCATCCCAGGTCCTTAGGGTCCTGTTTCCCTCGGACAGACAGGTTTCTCTAGGACGTTATGTTGAGAAAGCACTGGGCAGAGACAGGTCTTGACCTGTATATAAATACTCTAATGTTATTTTCTACCACAGCTTCATCCCATGAAAGGATGCCTGAGACAGAGGGCACTCAGGCATTTGCTGAAGAATGCCCACTCTAAGGTACTTAGAAACTCTCTTCTGCATGTATTTTCAGACTGGTTTTCATAGTGAAATGAGTTTGTAGGTCTTACAGAATACTCGCTGCCATGCACCAAACAAGAGGTGTCCTCAGTAGTTTTAAAAGACAAGGAGGACTCATGTACAAATGTGTATGCCACACTGTTTTATCTGCAACAAGAAATGATGACAATTGAATTAAGATTAAACACTTTAATCAACTATAATAAATCAATCATATAAAAATTCTGATTCATGCATCAGATTACATAAATTATACAATTATCACATTATGCAATGCTTACACGTTTTTGAGTTTGTACCTGTAAAAATGTATACAAGTTGTTAGAGCATTTTACTTAGTAAGTGTAATACTCTTCAGTTATAAATAATGCTTATATCTTTCAAATACTTGCTAACTATATACATTTCTAGATCTGCAGCATTTTTTTGTACCTTAAAATACAAAACACCTGGAAGCTTCGAAGATTAATAGGCCCCATGTATCATTTGTTACAGACTTCAATTCCATGGTGAGAGTGGATTTTTTGACATAGAAAATAAATGAAATAAAATGCCAACTCTGGTTTAATGCTTGAAGAGCTTCTACACTACTTATTAAATACACCAGAAAACCCTTCATATGCAGATTAATTAGTTAAGGTGCTACCTATTGCATATTAAATACGTCCAATAATTGCATCTGGATTATTAAAGGTATAAATCTGTGAAAATGGGGACTTTCAAATGTGTGCTGCCAGACCCTTCCATCTACTGTCATGAACAGCAGCACTGGGATCCTTTACCTCTTCCTTCAAAGAGATCGAGTCCACGAGCATGCTTTATACTTCACTCACACACACAAGGGGCACCTACCATATCTACCTCTAAGACACACGAGTACGTGGACATCAAGACTACCTTGACCTACAGATCCAAGGTAAAGGCTGCTTTTCCTAAAAAGCTACAGAGGAAAATAAAAGCTCTAGTGCAACAATTACTAGACATATTAAGGAGGGGTTTTTTTTAATATATATATTTTTAAGATTCTCCTTGCTAAAGAATAAGCACCCTTATGGGGGTGGTAGGCAGGGGGGCAGGCGGGGGGTGAGGGCAGAGGAGCTGGTGAAGGAAGGATGTGAGGAAAGCAAGTGTGTCACTAATGAGCTGAGTTTTACTTAGGTTTCCATCCACAAAACCCTTTTAAATACAAGGCAACATTTTCACAGCTGGAAAATTACAACTAAATCTTCATTTACTGCCAAAAGCAATAGATGTAGTTATGTATAATCTATGGATAATACTACAGTCATGGGAGAATGGCAAAACTAGGCTCAATGCAGAATATAGCAGCCAAAAGCAATACTTAAACGTTTTTCATGAATGGATGACACGTCATTTTATATACAATTCTAAGACACAACCCTGGCATTCAATAAATGAGACTTGACGCATAAGTGGTAGGGCAAGTATGTTCAATGCTTTCAAAACTGAATTTTAAAACTGAGAGGGGAACTGGTTATAAAATAATACTATTTTTAAAATAATAGAAATATTTAATTACATAACAGAAGTATGTTAACTTCAGATAGGTTTGAGATAAATATCAATTTTGTGATTTTAAAAAAATCCTTTTATTGGTGGAAATATTTTTGAGCATGCATTTGTTAAGCATAAAACTAAAATCTGTTTCTAAGTCTATAATGTTGTGCATTATTTAATGAGTACATCTATTTTATTTCAATTTCTAAGCTACTAACAAAATATACCATCAGAATACTTAGAAGTTACATTTTGGGAAAACAAACTAAGGTGATCTTTTTGGCCTTCCTTCTGCAATGCCAGAAAATAAAACTACTCTGTTTGCAATTCTGCCCAAGGGTAGGAAACACTGATATGTTTACTGGGGTATTCATTTTTACTTTTTGTTTTTAGTTTATTATATTGACAGATTATGAAAATATATAATAAGTTTTACTCTGGGTCATAAGTAAAAATTCATAAACATCGGAGCAGAACATTTTCAGGCAGTGATGAATGCAGATTGAGTTCTCAATAGAATTCTTGTCTCAGATTTAAAGATAAAAATATTCCGTTATAACCAAAACATTCATATATGAATAAGTCTAATTCTTAACAGTTTTTATACAGGCAAAGAATTTCTCCTTAAAAATTAATTTCCTCATAAGAATAGCAGTACTTGAACCACACTTTTTAATGAGGTCTATTCACATAAAACATATCCCCAATACAAAACCACCATCTTGGTTCATTCCACAAAGAGCAAATTTTGGCCAACACATATTAAAATATCTGCAGATAATCTATCATAATACTAAAACTACATGGACTTCGGTATTTTAAAAAACATAAGAAGAGCTTCAATTACATTAACAACAGAAAAAACAAATGCTAAGAATTTTGTAATATTTAATAAATGTTAATTAAAAATGGCACCATATTAAAAAATACTAATTAGTAAGAACTCAAGTGGGAAAATAAAATTCTACACCAGGTTTTGAGGTTTATTACTGAAATGCTTAAGTGAAGGAAAAGTTGGTAAAAGCTGTTTTTCCTTCTCCATTACTTCATTTCAAAAAATTATTTAATTTTTTGCATTTGGAGGAAATTTTCAGAATGTATGCTCTCATAAGAAAACTAAAGAAACCCAGAAAATACAAGTAAGGGATTTTAGCTTATGAATAGAATATAAGCTTGGCTAAGTATTATCTGATTCAAAATATTACTTAAATGAGTAAAACTATTATATCTGCTTTGTATTTAACTTTCAATGAAGTCTTAGTAGAGATAAGTATTAGACAAAAATGCAGTTCATTAAAAGATTAGGGAGTATATGTCTCCGCATACAGGTATATTTTTCATTTTAATTTCAGAAGACACAGATTCGGTGTTTCATAGTATTTTAGATTTTTAAAATAAAAAATAGCAATAGATGATCAGTAATATTTTTATAACTGTTGTTTTTCACTTAAATTTAAGACTAATTTTGTACAAATATATGAAGATAATTCATGGGCATAATCAACATTTTGAGGGAGCAGACTTACAAAAGGAGCCAACATATAATTTTGTGATAAATCAATTCTTAAAGGGTGGATATAGAATAGTGTATAATGTCACGCTAGAAAAGATCTGTTCTAAAATCTCACTCCTCCTTTAGTAACTGTTATTTTGGTTCAAGACCCAAATGCAACCATCTGTTCAATTATTTATGTAACTTGAAACCAAGCCTAACTCTTTATTCCTAGAATTTGCCCACTGCTTTGGGTTATCAGGCATCAGACAATCACTTACTTTTTTTCCCCAAAAATTATATTCAGATTTAACTTCTTAATATTTTCTTGGCTAGTGATTTAAAGGCATTCAGAATCTCACCAATTACGTTAGCTTAGCTTCTGCTTATAGCTTTAACAAAACTCAAAGGTTCAGATAAAAAATGAACTCAAGAAACCCGTGCTGTTGTGGAGTTAATGAAGTTTCCTAAAATATGTCATTCTTGAAAAAAGGGCTTTGGAGCATTACTTTTGGGAAAAGAGCGACAATACGATCCTGAATAACACGTAGCAGCAGCACATTTTGAAACCAAGGTTCACATCGTCAAGAGTGATTTGAAGCAGCTTTTCTGTGACAAATCGTAACACTGTAGTAGCAATGATGATTTGTTTTTCATCAACAGAGCACACATATATTTTCAAATTAAGAAATTGGTACCTAATTTTAGAGGCAACCAGTTATTTTTAAATGTTCTGGAAACACATGTCTATATGAGGTATACGCATGTACTTTATGTACAAAGATACATGAACATATATTCATGTATAAATATGTAATATAAAATATGAACTGTTTTTTAAGTAGTGTTTATAATGAGCAGTATTACTGCAGCTAAACATGTCTACAAATTGAATGCTGAGAATCCAACCACAGTATCAATTCTGCTTTATGAGAAATCTGTTCCTGAGGAATAAGTCATATGCTTCTGAAGATATTTCTAGGCCTATGGCAGGTGAGTGGACCAGCTCCAGCACCTAAGTGAATCCTAAGGAACTGCTTATTTATCGAGAATCTGGTCCGAGTCCACTTTAAAAGTTCAGTTATTTAGCTCACTTCAAAGGTCACTCTTGATAGTCCCTACTAATATTTACAGGTACGACAATTTTTGACAATGGAAGAGAGTATGGAATGAAACCTGTAAGTGTAGTTTCTTTCAGTAACAATTTTTCTTCTTTCTTCCTTTCTGTTCTCCCCCCAATTATAAATGCAGTACAATTGGCTTATTAACTATTGGAGAACTTGCCAGCTTTCCGGGATGGTTCGTACGGCACTCTGAGAATACTGGGCGTCTCTTCCATCACCCTCACCAGGAGGTTGTCGATGTAGTCCTCCAGCTCCCGGATGTGGGTGTCCTTTCTCCTAAGGAGCTCTCTGTGTCTCACCAGCTCCTGCAACACCTCCTCGTAGGTCAGGCTCCGGAACCCTGCAGTGGCATCGAAAGGGTTGCTGTCCTAGAAGGAGATAAAGACTGTGTCACTTTAGTAGACATGATATCAGGGACAAATTCAGAATCATCTTGAACTTGAACTTCTGGCTTTTCAAACCCTGATCGAGACTTTCTCTATCCTTGGCTAGAACCAGTGTGACAGTTCCCAGAATGGTTGGTCAGCTCTGAGGCGAGCACTGGGTCACGTGCACCATGGCCTTAGTGATAATTCTAAATTCCTCTACGGTCCTTTTTTACAATGTCCTAATATAATAAATGCACCTAATAATTTAAGATTAAGAGATTAAATGTTCTAAAATAAATATAAATGAAAACTAAAGATCTCTAAGAGTTAACTTGGAGGAACTATAACAAGCGGTTGAAAACTATACATTTGGACATTAGGTTAGTCCTGACGGAACTGCTTCCAATGAACTGCAGTTTCATGCTATGCCTCTGGCTTTTTGTTGAAGGGATTACAAGAAGCAGCTAAATCAAGTCTGCTTCTCACTATGAAATGTTGAAGGCATTCGGAATTAAACCAACAAGCTTCCTTATAAGAAGTCCCATGGGAGTAACTTCTGTTTTAATTTAGAGGCAAACAGAGCTTTTTCCCTTCTGAGTAATCAGTTTCTTTCCCCCTCATAATATAGTACTGATACCTAATATATATATATATACTTTATCTTATTTCCCTTTTTGCCCTGGCTATCAGGAAACTCAAGAGCTCAACTATGACAATGCTCATATTTAGGATTAGTGTATCTACATTTTTTTCCATTTCACTATTTAGTTTGTTAACCTTATTCTAGGATGAAAAATTTTTACATAAATGTACAAATATAAATGAAAAAAGGCACTGATTTAATTCATTTTTATTACAAAGCATTCTCATATAATATAAAAATATTTCTCAGGAATTTAATAAAAAAGGTACTATGATGTCATCTATTTACAGTGTATAGTAATTCGAGTTCTCATTATGTAAAAGATAATGCCCAAATATACAGTAGCATTTTTATGTCTTTTTATACATAGTTCTATCACTAAGCTCAACAACTTACAATGGTTTTCATCACTTTCTTTCAAAACATTTCCATTTGGCTTTAAGGAAAATCAACTAAATATTGAGGAAATTGGTCTTGCTCTTTCAGACAAATAGTACCTAATCTAATCAGTGGAGAATGGAGGCTGATGAATGCAGAAAGGCCTTTTTTTCCCCATAGGAATTAAATTTGTCTCTACTCATTTTCAGGATCTGCTTTAATTTGCTGTGTGTCTAAAGTTTTCATCAGTAAAGCCAAAATGTAACTTTTTATCACCTCCTCCCCCAGGCACCATGACTTTGCCCGCACCAGAAAAATCAAGCTAGAGTACAGACGCTTGGGTTATTGAAGCACACTTCCTTCTCCAGGATAAAGGAAAAAACAATTCAGCATGGGGAAACTTCTCCAATCCCATAGAATCTCTCAGATTTTCTAGAGAAGATACAGCTTGCAGTAGGCAGAAATTCGTAATGGGCATCTTAAGCAGTGGGCCCTTCTTGTTCAAAGAAGGAACAAGGTTCAAGTGGCCAAACAGGGGCTCGGGGGACAGGGCTGCAGAATAAGGTTCAGGGCGGCGAGAGGAGAGCGGCTGAAACGACAGGCTTCACACAGACCATCAAGGATGCTGAATGCTATTATTAAGGACTTTTGGACTTACTGCTGTGGGAAACAGGAAGCCACTGAAGGTTTCTACCAAGAAGAAAGATATGATTAAAGCTAAGTTTGAGGGGCCGGCCGAGTCAAGTGGCGCATTGGTTAAGAGCTGGCTTGGGACGCCAGAGGGCGCCGGTTCGGATCCCACATATGAGGGCCAGTGACACTGCCCTCTACAGCTAAGATGCTGAACAACAGCTCAACCTGGAGCTGGGCTGCAACCCCTGCTGCAGTGGGTTGCCAAGGGCTACCGTGTGTAGCCAGCAGCCAGCGTGAGCGGCCGTCCTGAAGCCGGCGACTGATCTGCCTCACCCGGGAAGAGCGCAATGATGGTGCCAACTTGGGCCAGTGAAGCAACGTCCTCCACAACTAGACTGAAGAACAAACAAACAAAAAAACGACAGCAACTTATCTGTCCCCCTTCCCCCAATTCCCCAGCACTGTTCCAATTCCCCAATAAAAATCTTTTAAAAAAAATCTAAGTTTGAGGAAAATTAAAATGGAAGCAGTGGGTAAAATCATTTGGAGGGGCTGAGATTAGGTATAAAGCTATTGAAATATTAAAGGCAAGAATTAATAAGAACCTCCCCTAGATTAACAGAATGAATAGAGAGAATGCTAAAGGGAAGTGGGTTTAAATTCTGTAAGATACATCTAAGACAACTTACTTATTTTAGCATTAGACAATGGGGACACATAAAACTTTAAGTTGTATTACCTTTGTCCCTAAAAATATTTCAAATACTGCTCTGCAACAATTCAAGCACAATTCTGCAGACGAGTGTTGATTTACTTTTTACTCTCTTCTCTCAGATCAATTTAATCTTTTTAAAGATTAAGTCTAAACACACACACTCTCTCATGTATTTGCTAGTTTATTTAATTGGTCATGAGTAGTTTATAGATATATAAAACTAATAATTTCCCCTAACCTCATTCTTATTAAACAATTATTATATAAAGCAGGTTACTATAGAAAAGATAAGACATACTATAGAGGCAAGTATATATTTTTTAATTTATTAAAAATAGGCAAAAGTTTCTTACTTTAACCTAAGTAATTCTGTACAGATTTGAGATAGAAACCAACCTAGGTCTCACTTTCCTTATTTGATAAATGAGATGTTCTCCAAAGTCCCTTTTAACTCTAAAATTTCCTGGTTTACAAAGTGATTTTTCTGAACTGCATTTTAAAAAAGTAGTAATGTCTAACTATTGTGATTTTGTTTTTCTAATAAAACACTTACTGAAAAATAGGGCTTCTTGTGAGAATTGCAGGGATTATCGAAACTAAATTAAACAGGATTCATTACTGATTGGTTGACTGTTTCTTACTTTAACACAAAAATAGCATCATTTTGAGTCTCTCTAATCTTAATCAAATTATACATATGTGAATTGATTTCTCCAAATTAAATGATGATATACACTTACATTGTAATATTTAGCACTATACCAGTACCACCAGATAATGTAGTTAAAATTTTTTAAACGTTTTTCTAAAGACAATGAAAATGAAAGACATGTCAAAAAATTCTTATTTTGACATAGTTTAAATTAACATCATGATATAATTCAATCTAACAATTTAATCTCAAAATAATCAATTATTATCCTGGAATATTTTTCGACACTTTACAGCCACTTTTAGAATGTACAAATCTATTGTTTGGCTTACTCCCCCCCACCCCCATTAGATGTCTATACGTCTAATACTTATGTATAGACAGATTTCCTGAAAATACATTTCTGACCTTTCCAATAAATTTCCCATTTGTCCTTTCATGTGAAAATTTTACCCCAAATTTCTGCATCAAGTTTCTAGGCAGAAAACATCTTAGAAACACATGTACTATAAACTATATTCTAAAAAAGAATATAAAATAATTAAAAACAGTTTTATGCTTAGTTCCAGATTTTATCCCATATTTGAAAATCATGTAAACCTTTTAGTTTTAGGCATAAGATTCTTAAATTAATACACTCAATAAATCTATACCTGTTTATATATATATAAATGCTATATATATATATATATATATATATATATATACACACACACACACACACATATATATATATATATATATATGTCCTTCTGTTTGTTGGTATAATTCCAAATAAAATAATGAAGATTAATATTAATTAGCATATACAACATAAAATTAAAATATTTTCTGTTCATAAAAATTATTTTGCCAAAAAAGGAAAACGCTCAGGCAAATACGAAAATTAATTATTTTTTCAAAAGATACTTTTAATACTAATCATGGAAAAACTTCTAAAATTGAGAAATATCCAAACTGGTAAAGACTCAAATAACCTGTAGTGGGATTCCTTAAGTACTCAATATTTTTTCCTCCAGCACTCCACATAGATAGCACATATGTTTTTAAGATGTCTTCTTATATTGAAATGTAATGTAAATTTTTCTTCTCTCTTCCCCTTTCACAACCAATCCTTTTTCATTCCTAACCAATCTCTGTTAAAAATAACCATATGCAGATATAAGAAAATGGGAATTGGGTGAGAGAATAATAGAATTAGTACATGAATTTTCCAATTGGAATTTTAAATAACACAGTTGTGCAAAAGACTGAGGATTTCCAGTGATCTATTTTTACTTTACTCAAAGTCTAGCCTTTTAAACTAGGAAATGTATATATGTTTTTTTACAATATTTAAATTTAAACACAAGCAAATTATCAGGACTCAAAATAACTGAAGATTTAAAGAAAGGTTGTCCTGGTAACCAAGTATTGGTGGGGCACTAGCAGACATCCAAGGCAACTGGAGGAGAGAGAGAGAGATGAGATGAAGGCTTGGCATTCTCTGATCACCTCATTATTGTTCTAATGAGGAACTTTGCTCTGGGAATATCATCGCAGCTACTTTCACATCTTTTGTCCCACTCCCTTCATCTCCCTTTCAGTTCTTAATTAGGCCTTAAAGAGCTCACACTGCCCTTTCAACTGGCTACTGCTCCTGTTTAAACACTGCCTTTCACAGACAGGTGTTGGCACTAGCATATAAGACATACAAACTTAATTACAAAATACTATGTCTAGAAGGGGAAAAAAATAACTTGGTGGACGGCTGTTACTGGAGAACTTCATGTAAATTACTTCAAACATCTTATAATCTTCAACGTAAAAATTGTTCAAATACTTTTACTCAAAAACGATCCATCGGAGGATGAGCTTTCTCCTCTTAATTGTATCTTGCAGTAAATTAACAACACCTAGTAATCCCTTAACTGTCATTTAGAATAGCTAGTATTCCAGAGAAAAAATAATCACACATCAAGGATTCTTTTATCACCTTTAAATCCTTTAACTAAAACAATTTTCACATTTTTATTTCTTTAAAGAACTCTAAGGATGCTTTTACAACAGCAATAAATTACAAGATTTGGAAAAGTACATTTACAAGCACATAGAAATTGTAATTAAGGTTACTTAATAAACAATAGCTGCACATTAAATCGTTTTTTTTGATGTTGCATTTTGTTTGAGATTAAGTAACCGCCTGATAGAATTCATTTTCCTATCTGATCAAAGGCTGACTTCATATATTCTGACATTTCTCGCCAGACTGCCGTATTATAGAGACTTGAGTATTTATGAAACACAAAAACTCCCAAGTCATTTACATAAAACAGCAAAAACACAGTACAAAGTCCTCTGCGTCTATAATGTTTTCTACAATTTTATAAAATAGCTACATTTAGTATGGCTTATACACTACACCATGGTTTCTTCTAGGTATATCGGATTATAGAAAATTGTGATACGTTACTGCTTTAAAAAATTCCTATTATACATCTGGATCACACACATTAAGGACAGCTGGTTCAAAGAGCAACCACCAGCATCTTGGAATAAAGGCTCTATTTCTGTTATTCAGTGAGAATTTAGTTTTTTACCAAGAACATGTGCTCATATTTTTATAAAGTAACTTATCCGCTAGGTTTAATATATTTAGAATTGACTGAAGATGCAGTGTAACTCTAAATAGAGACCCAAAGCTGGACTTCAAATAACAACAAAATGAAGTTAAGATATCTGACCGAGCCCTGCCAAACACGTGACTTAATTTAGCCGATCGCTACCAAGCCTGTTGATATACTGAGTTTTGTTCTGACTAGGGAGGTAAGTGTCCTAAAGGTTCTTTCAAATACTTTCCTGGTCAACTGGATTTCTCGCCAGGATGCTTTTCCTATTGTTGAATACTGACAAGCAGTTTTATTCTTTCTTCAATCTTGGTCCCAACAGAAAAAGCTGTTAGTTTCCTCCACATGCTCTTATTTCATAATTATAATTTTGACCTTGACATACAGCTTTCATATTAATTTTAAAAGTCTGCAAACAAAACATGTATATTCTAAGTTGGCTTCAATTATAATTATGTTTACCTGAACTTCCACAGATGGTACAGAAGTCACACCCTATTGTATATTAAAAACAAAGTTTGAGTTTTGCTTTACTTCTTTCTCCCCAAATTATCACACTAAGCTATAATCCATAGGTAACTGAGGGAGTCAAAGAGATGGAGGCCCTTTTGGAAATGTGTACCAGACAGAAGGCCAGCTTGTGGCTTGTTTTTTTTTTTTGGTAATTCTCAAACCCGCTCTGCAACTTACCGGGATTTTCCTGATGTCTTCATTGCTTGTCGGATTCATATGAAAACTAACAATAAAAGACAAATAAAAACGTTAAGCGGTATCATAATCCACGTGGGAGGAAACATAAAAACAGAGCATTTTTAACCAACATTTCAATAACAATTTCTAAAGTCCTAAATCACTCGGATGAATGAAATTTAATCCAGGATGTAGAAGAAAACCAATATTTACTCAACATTCTAAAGTGTCTACAATTTTAAATTTTGAGGAATCCTTCAGTTATTATCAGAACTGAGGAACTGTACTTCTAAGTATATAGTTTCTAAACATCTTTAAACATAAGCATTTTATCCAGCAAGGTATCTTATAAAACTAAATTTTATAACGTATGATTCATTCTATATACATACACTCACTCACCTTAGGCCTTCTCATATAAAACTAACAGAGAATTAAATAAATTTAGGTTAGAAAGAGCGTAGAATAAAAGAAACAAAGCAACCTTTAAAAAAATTCTACAGGTATTAGAAAATTATCTTTTAAACATTACCCTATCAGTGAGAATAAATTCAGAGTTGTATGAAACATTTCTATCATTAATGTGATTTCTAAGTAGCTGGCCTTCAAAATTTAAATACCCAAGTGGACCAAAACAAAATGGATTTCTTCCATGCAGAGAGTAAGAAAACATCACAGCTGAATGCTATAATCATTTTCTTCTTTGAAACATGTCCATTAGGAAGGGGACTGCAACCAGAAAGAAGCTGAACTTCAAAGCCATCTGATGAGTAAATATTTCATCGTTGTTATTCAAGTTTAATTTTTACCCAGCACTTAAGAGTATTAGCCTTTATAACCTCTACAAAGCATTACTGTCCTAAGAACCTTTTCATCCTCTCTACCCCCCCACCCCCGAAAGACTTAACTGTAAAGTATATATTTTTACATTATCTGTGCTTTATCGGCCAAATAATTGGAATTCCTTGAAGAAATTCAGTTTTTAAACTTTTAATTGTGTGCATGAAAAGTCTGGACACTAGACATAATGTCTGGAAAATATCTATTATTTTAGGTACACATCCCAAGCTGTAAATCTAAAGAGCATACATGCATGGACAACCACCTCAAAGAATTTCTCACACATTCAAGGGTTCATTTGACTAAGATTTGTAGTACTAGCTTCCAGGACTGGTGGCTGACCTTTTCTAGATAGAATTCCTTGGATAAATTTAGTATTTCGGTAGAGCTGGGTGACACAGTGGAAAAGCCTGACACATTTTAAATACCTACAATGCACCATTTCCCGGCTGAGGTGGTGGACACATTTTCTCATTCCCTTCATCTCATCATCTTGATGGTGTTCTACCTGGGCTGAGACCAGAGTCACTGTACTAGCAACGTCTCAAGAGCCTGACAAGAGTGACTTAGAAAACAAAATCCAAAATGCCATTATCATACAGTACACCCCCACCTAGGTGCCCCTGGAGCAGCTGCTAACACCGTGGTTCCCATGCTCCCGGATGTTCACTCCAAGGTGGTCAGCATCGGGGTCCACTGGGACTAATCTCTCCCTGTGCCATCATCTCACAGCACGTTGCTTTCTAATAGGTCAAGAAACACATTCTGCTGCCTTTCTCCTCTTCATCTGACTATGATCATCTCAAGGTCAAAATGATCGAAATCCGGGTGTGACTGTATACCACCACGGTGGTTACAAGCAGAGAAGCGGTGGAGGGCCCTGGAGCTAGGAGGTGTGAATTCAAATGCCAGTCTGCCTTTCACTTGCTGTGTGACGCTGAACAAGTTACTTAACTGACTGTGTCTGAGGCCCCGCATCTGTAAAATGGGGATGGCAACAGTGTCCACCATATAAGACTATTGTGAAGACTGAATAAGTTACCATGTAAAACACTTAGCACAGTGACTAGCACATAGAACGTGTTCAATAAATTACTTTATTCAACAAACATTTACAGAGCACTCAGACTGAGCCAGATATTATTCTAAGCAGTTTACCCGAATTAACTCATTTAATCTTTAGAACTTTTAAAGTAGCTATGGTCTTAATTTTCAAAGTAAGGAAGCGAGAGACACAGAGAGGTGCGGTAACTTGTGTGTGGTCATCGAGTTGGTAGTGGAGGAGGTGGCTGCCCCGAGAATCTGTCCTGACTGACACACGGCCCCAGCCCTGCTCTCTGCACACCGTCAGCACGGGACACGGTGCTCAAGCCCTGAACATACAGGACGCAGGGATTCGTCAGAAAGTGCACGTCGCCTCATTCTGAGTCGGCACCCACTGCAGCTGTGCTTGTGGGGGACAGGGGGACAGCGCTAGGGAGAGTTCAAGTTTCAGGCCTCATAGGGGAAAGATACGTTCCATCACAGCAGTTAGTCAGGGAAGGCCTGAGCCCAGGCAAAAGGAGGATTTGGAATGACATGAAGGGTAGGTTTGGCAGGCCGGGGAGAGAGGACTCTGAAGACATACGGCATGGCCTGGGGCTGCTGGAGAGGAAGCCACTGCAGGACACAGGGCAGACTCGGACCCAAGGCAGCAGGGCGGGAAGGAATCCTGGAAGGGTTTTCATGCCAAACGTGAGGCTCTTAGGTCTGATCCACAGAGCAACAGGAAATTTTTTCACACTTTCAATCCTCTTTCATAAATGTTATTAAACATTTCATGTTCGGTAGCATAATCCATCCCATTACATCCCTGAAGAATAAACAATATTATGACTGTATAAAGTGCATTATATGTCTCAAGAAGAAATTATTGAAGAAATAGAAACACTGGTGTTCTATTTATTGTTATCACAATAAGATTTTTAAGAAACAGACATTTAGATCATAAAACTAACAATATGTCATAGCCAGTGGCTCTAGCCTGTGGACCTACGGTGAAACTCAGCGACAACCTGAAACATGTCTGAGAAGTCTCAAATGATTAAACTGAAAAGGCCGCAACTGTAAGAGAAAAGGGTGCGGAGGGCAGCAAGCCCCAGCCACCCCCATTATACCTGCGTGTAACCTGAGCGCTCTGACACTCTGGCTAGCAGCCCCCGGTGCAGAGCTGAGGACCGGGCTTGTATGGGCCATTGTGGAAAATCTAAAGGCAGAACCCCTCCCTTGTGTTCGGCTTTATATTCACACACTGACCTGTCAAGCACATGACAACTCAGTCATTCACGGCTGCCTTTTTTGATCTGTCCTTAAGGGGGAAAAAAGAGTTAACTGAACTGGATTGAATTAGCTCGGTGAAAAATAAAATGTCTCTATTTATCGAAGTGTGGCACCAATTTGTGATATCTTTCTCTTTGCACTGCGGTCCTCATGTCAGACAAGATATTGAATAATACAGCCTGACTGCTCAACTGAGTTGCTGACAGGTTAAGAAGGATGGTGTTTTTAATCAGGTAGAAAATGAACTTGGACATGCTCACACTGAAAAATGTTTATACAAATGTAAAATTCAGAATTAAAAAAATTTAGTTTAAAAATCAGAATTGAAGGAGTCTGGAAGGATTTTTATTGAAGGATTTTTTTTAATTGAAGGATTTTAAACTGATAAAAATATTTTAAATTCATATTTTAAAAAGTTTTCTAAACTAATAAGATGCTTTACCTGAACATTCAAAAGTTTTTCATGTAAAAGCTTACCTTTTACCTTGCGATATTTCCAAATTTTAAGAATTCTTCTAAGTAAACTCTAATTGGAAATTTTGAAATTAGTAGTACTCGAAAATATTTTAAGGAATCATTAGTATTGCTTCTACCTACAATACACTTATTTATTTTGTAGAATAAAGACTGAATAAAGAAATAAGTAAATTGGTGAGAACTTGAAACTGTCCTTCAACAGGTCAGAAAAACAAACCAATCTTATAAAGCACTAAAAACGGCCATTGCAGAAATCACTAAGGCTTTTGGCGGCGATCAGTTTTTTGTTTTTGTTTTTGTTTTTTTTGTCCTTCCTTTTCTCTCTTTAAAACGTAAATACATTTCTTTGGAGCACAAATACTTAAGACTGGGAAGAGACTACTGAAAGTGAAAAAGTATAAACTGTTTGTCAAGACAAAATAAGACCCATCAAAGAACAAGAACAACAAAGATCTATTAAAACCGATTAACTGTCTTGTTAGGACAAGACAATGCAAAGTATCAATTCTTGGCTCGAGGATTTTAAGTCTTTCAATGAGAAGTCACCCAACACTGGCTCTTTGGAAGGCATTTAAAAGCAAGTATTATTACATCTCCCGTAATATCTCTTTCCAAGCCTCATCAGTGTGAAAATTATAAAGGTAAGTCCATCTTGGCTTACAACTTGACCATTTGGTACCTAATAAGTAAATTCAAGTGGAAAATCCAGGTGTCCCACCTGGCTGGGAGGTGGCAAGAGGGTAGTACAGGAGTCACTTCCACAAGCACCATCCATTTTTTACTATGTATAGGAAATAAGTATAACTTTAAACTATCGCAGAAGAACTTCTGACATTAATTATGTTCAAAGGGGAGTATCCTCTTGATCTTGTTTAACTGACAGAGTGGACTCGAGAGACTTGGGGCTTCACTTTGGTGACAAATGTAGGTGGGGGAGGGGTACAGGCAGAGCTGTAACACGGCATCATATAAAACCTTTAATGAGTCTGAAAAAAGAAAAAGAAAAATACCCCATTTACAGTGAAGCAAGGGCAAAAAAAATGACAGTAGGCCTAACAACAACTGATATTTATGGGCCTTTAATCATGGTACCAGGCACCTTTTTGAGCCCTTTACATGTTAACACATTTAATCCTTGTAACAATCCAATGAGGTCAGTGCTACTTTTACTTCCATTTACAGAAGAGGAAACAGGCACAGAGAAGTTAAGACGCTTACTCCAGGTAACACACTTATTAAGTGGCAGGATCAGGAATCAAAGAAAGGCACTCAAACGCCACAGTCCCAGCTCTTTAGACATAAAACACTTGTTCCACACAGGTGTTCTGAACTGTCAGCCCTGCTCTGAGTTCAGAGATGGCTGGTTTCAAGGAGTCCAATACAATTTCCCAGGGCTTCTTCCAATCAGAA